TATTTATTTATTTATTTAGTAAAGTAGTTATTGACAGGTGTGGAGTTTTGCTCTTTTAATTGACAGGTGTGGAGTTTTGCTCTTTTAATTGTTTTATAGCCATTTTGTAATTCTTTGCTCCTCCTTCTCTTGCTTTCTTCCTTTGTGATTTAATGACTTTTTTTTTGTAGTAGTAGGCTTATAGTCCTTTCTCTCTATTTTATGTATCTATTATAGGCTTTTACTTTTTGGTTACCATGAGGCTTGTTACCGTGTTGATATTTTGATTTCTTCCCATGAATTAGAAATATTCTTTTTTTCTTCTTTAGTTACCTTTATTTTTCAATTAGTTGACATAAAATGTTTATTAGTTACAGGTGTACAATATAGTGGTTAGACATTTAAATAACTTACACAGTGATCACCCCGATAAGTCAGTCTATGTCTGACACCATACATAATTATTACAGTATTATTGACTATATTCCGTAAGCTGCACTTTACACTCCCTTGACTATTTTGTAACTTCCAATTTGTACTTCTTAATCCCATCACCTTTTTCACTCTGTCCCCTAACCCCCCTCCAGTCTGGCAACTGTCAAATTGTCCTCTGTATCTGTGAGTTTGTTTCTGTTTTGTTTGTTCATTTCTTTTTTAGATTTCACATATAAGTGAAATCATATGGTATTTGTCATTCTCAGCCCGACTTAGTTCACTTAGTTAGCATAACACCCTCTAGGTCCTTCTTTGTTTTCTCAAATGGCAAAATTTCATTCTTTTCTATGGCTGAGTAATATTGCACTGTATATATGTACCACTTCTTTATTATCCATTTATCCATTGATCGACACCCAGGTTTCCTCCATATCTTGGCTATTATAAATAATGCTGCAATGAACATAGGGGTTCATGTATCTTTTTGAATTCTTGATTTGGATTTCTTCAGATAAATACNTTATGAATAAAACTTGAGTTCAATAACTTTATGTAATACATTTTTTTTCAAATTTCGGGCCCCAAATTAAGGTGTGTTTTTTACATGGGAGCGTCTTATATACATGGGGAAATATGGTCTGTTGAAAAGCAGTGGTGATAGGGGACAGCCCTGTCGTATTCCTGAATGCAGAAGGGCTTCAGTTTTTCACAGTTAACTATGATATTAGCTGAGGGTTTGTCATATATGGCCTTTATTATGTTAAGGTATTTTCCTTCTATACCCATTTTATTAAGTGTTTTAATGATAAGTGGGTGTTGTATCTTCTCAAATGCTTTTTCTGCCTCTATTGATATAATCACATGATTTTTATCCTTTATTTTGTTTATGTGGTGTATCACATTGATCAGTTTGCATATGTTGAACCATCCTTGTGCCCCTGGGATGAACCCCAGTTGATTGTGATGTATAATCTTTTTAATGCATTGTTGTAGTCACGTTGCTAGAATTTTGTTTAGGATTTTTGCATCTGTATTCATCAGACATTCATCTGTAATTTCCTTTTTTTGTGTTATCCTTACCAGGTTTCGGTATCAAAGTAATGTTGGTTTCATAAGATGAGTTAGGGAGTATTGTCCCTTCTTTAATTTTTTTGGAAGAATTTGAATAGGACAGGTATTAGGTCCTCTTTGAATGTTTGGTAGAATTCACTAGTGAAGCCATCTGGTCCTGGACTTTTGCTTTTGGGAAGGTTTCGGATGACAGAGTCAATTTCCTTACTATTGATCGGTCTGTTTAGATTCTCCAGTTGTTCGTGATTCAGCCTAGGAAGGCTATATATTTCTAAGATCATGTCCATTTCTTCTAGGTTATTGAATTTGGTGGCATATAGTCCTTCTAGTATTCTTGGATGATTCTTTGTATTTCTGTGGCATCCATGGTAACTTCTCCTTTTCATTTCTGATTTTGTTTATTTGTGTCTTTTCTCTTTGTCTTAGTGAGTGTAGCCAAGGGTTTGTCAATTTTATTAGTCTTTTCAAAGAGCCAGCTGTTGGTTGCATTAATTTTTTCTATTGTCTTTTTGTTCTCTATTTCATTTAGTTCTGCTCTGATTTTTATTTCCTTCCTCCTGCTGACTGGGTTTTATTTGTTCTTCTTTTTCTAGTTCTTTAAGGTGTAATAACATGAAGTTGTTTATGTGGGACCTTTCTTGTTTCTTGAGATAGGTGTGTAATGATATAAATTTCCCTCTTATTACTGCTTTTGCTGTATGCTTTTGCTGTATGCTGTATAATTTTGATAGGATGTATTTTCATTCTTATTTATGTCTATGTATCTTTTGATCTCTCCTCTTATTTCTTCTTTGACCCAGTCCTCTTTAAAAGCATGTTGTTTAATCTCCACATATTTGTGGTTTTCTTCTTGCTTTCTTTTTGCAGTTGATATCCAATTTCAAAGCCTTGTGATCAGAGAATATGCTTGGTAGGATTTCAGTCTTAAATTTGCTGAAGCTAGTTTTATGTCCCAATATATGATCTATTTTTTAAGAATGTTCCAGGTACACTAGAAAAGAATGTGTAGTCTGATGGTCTAGGATGTTCTATACATGTCAATTTTGTCCATTTTGTCTAATGTGTCATTTAGGGCTGATATTTCTGTATTTATTTTTGTTTGTATGATCTATCCATAGCTGTCAATTTTTTTTCCTAAGAATTGTATTGTTTTAGGTCTTACATTTAAATATATGATCTAATTTGAATTACATTTTGTACATGATGTTAGGAAGGGGTCCACCTTCAGTGTTTTGCATGTAAATGTTTGCTTTTCCCAGCACCATTTGTTGGACTATGCTTGCCCCATTGAATGGCACCTTTGTCAAAATAATTTGAACAAATATGCAAGGGTTTATTTCTGGTCTCTCTAATCCATTGGTCTGTATGTGCGTCTTTATGCCAGTACCAGACTATATGGATTACTGTAGCTTTTTGGTAAGTGTGAATCCTTCAGTATTATTCTTCTTTTGCAAGATTGTTGTAGCTCTTCAGAGTTACTTGAAATTACATATGAATTTCAGGATGGATGTTTTTATTTATGCCAAAATGTCATTGGGATTTTGATAGGGATTGCATTGAATCTGTAGTTCAGTTGGTGTAGTATTGACCTTTAACAAGATTAATTCTTCCAATCCATGTACATGGGATGTGTTTGCACTTATTTATGTCATCTTTAATTGTTTTTAGCAATGTTTTCTAGTTTTCATTATACTGTTTGTGGGATAGAGAGGGGGTGGGTGGGAAAAGAGTATATGGGAACTATGTACTTTATGTGTGATTTCTCTGTAAACCTAAAACTTATTCTAGAAAATAAAAACCTATTAATTAACAGTTACTGATGCCTGATAAAGAGTTCATAAAATTGACTATACAAAGTAATAACCAAAGCTAGTATCTAAGTGACAAAACAACAGTAAGTGAAGATATGTTTCTTTTTTATTGTTAAAAATTTAGTTCTCAGGGCCGGCCGAGTGAGCTCTGTTGGTTAAGAACTTGCTCAAGAGTGCAAGTCTGAGCAACAGCGGTTTGATGCCTGGCCCGAGCTGAGCTGCCAACAGGTGGCAGGATGGCTCAGCTAAAAAAAAAAAAATGTTAGTTCTCATCTGCCCTTCCCCAATTTTTGGCTAATAACATACCTGCAGTCATTCCTGTTCCTGTGTTCATTTTTCTTTGTGGTCTTTTCTGTTAGGTGTACTAGCCCTTTCTTGGTACCCACCTGATTCAAGTGATGAGAATGGAATACCTACTGATGACTTGGTACCAACTATTTTGGATAAAGCTCATAAATATAATCTGAAGGTATTTTATTTATTTAAATTTTTTATTGAGATATAAGTGACATTATATTAGTTTCAGGTGTTCAACATAATAATCTATATATGTATATATTGTAAAAAGATCATCACAATGAGTCTAGTTAATATCCATCACTGTACATAGTTTCAATTTTTTTTCCTTGTGATGAGAATTTATAAGATCTATTCTCTTAGCATCTTTCAAATATTAATGCAATATTATTAACAATAGTCACCACATACTTTTAACATCCCCAGAACTTATTAATTTATGACTGGAAGTTTGTACATTTTACCACCTTCACACATTTTACTCCACCCCCACCTCAGGTAACCACAAATCTGTTCTCCGCATCTATGAGTTGTTGGTTGTGTGTGTGTGTGTTTTTTTTTTTTTTTAGGATTCCCCATTAAAGTGAGATCATAACAGTGTTTGTCTTTCTCTGACTGATACACTTAGCATAATGCTTTCAAGATCCATCCATGTTGTAACAAATCACAAGATTTCGTTCTTTTCTTAATAGCTGAATAATATTGCATTGTATATGTAAACCACATTTTCTTTATCCATTCATCCGTTAAAGGACTCTTACCTATTTCCATTGCTTGGCTATTGTAATAATGATGCTCTGAGCATCAAATATCTTTTCCTGTTAGTGTTCCTGTTTTCTTTGGATAAATACCAGAATTGCTCGATCATACAGTAGTGCTATTTTTAATTTTCTGAAGAATGTCTATAGTGTTTTCCATAATGGCTGCATAAATTTATATCCCCACTAACAGTTCACAAGGGTTACCTTTTTTCCACATCCTTGCAAACACTTGTTATTTTTTGCCTTTTTGATAGTAGCTATTCTATCTAACAGGTTTGGAGTAATACCTCTTTGTGGTTTGTTATTTGCATTTTTCTGATGATTAGTGATGTTGAGCACCTTTTAATTTACTTGTTGGCCATCTGGATATCTTCTTTAGGAAAATATGTCTGTTCAGGACCTCTGCCCATTTTTAAGTCGGATTTTTTTTCTTGTTTGCTTATTTTGGTTTTTTTGCTATTGAGTTGTATAACTTCTTTATATATTTTGGATATTAACCCCTTATCAGATATATGGTTTGAAAATATTTTCTCCCATTTGGTAAGTGTCTTTCATTTTGTCGATGGTTCCCTTTGCTGTGCAGAAGCTTTTTAGTTTGATGTAGCCCCGTTTTATTTCATTTTTCTCAAGGTACGTTTTTATTTCTGTCTTGGTTATTTTGTTGACTGATTGGATGTTCAGTAGCATGTTGTTTAATCTACACATATTTGTGAGTTTTCCAGTTTTCTTGTAATTGATTTTTGGTTTTATACTATTGTCCAAAAAGATGCTTAATGTGATTTCAGTCTTCTTAAATTTATGAAGACTTGTTTTGTGGCCTAACATATGATGTAGCCTGCAGAATGCCCATGTGCACTTGAGAAGTATGTGTGTATTTGGTTCTTTTGGATGGCATGTCCTGTACATGTCTGCTAATTGCATCTAGTATAACGTCATTTAAGGTCTATGTTTCCCTGTTGATTTTCTGTCTGGATGATCTATCCTTGATGAAAGTGGGGTATTACAGTCTACCATTATTTTAGTTCTGCCGATTTCGCCCTTTAGATTTGTTAATACTTGCTTTTTATATTTAGGTGCTCCTATATTGGTTGGATACATATTAGAAATGTTATAGCCTCATGTTGGATTGACCCCTTTATTATTATATACTGATCTTTGTTTCTGTTTACATATTCTTAAGTTCTGTTTTGTCTAAGTATACCTACTCCAGCTTTTTTTGATTTGCATTTGCATGGAATATCTTTTTTATTATCCCTTCACTTTCGAACTGTGTACCTCACATCTGAAGTGAGACTCTTGTCATTAGCATATAGAAGAGTCTTGTTTGTTTGTTTTTTCCATTCAGCCACTGTCTTATTATTTATTTATTTATTTATTTATTTATTTATTTAGTAAAGTAGTTATTGACAGGTGTGGAGTTTTGCTCTTTTAATTGACAGGTGTGGAGTTTTGCTCTTTTAATTGTTTTATAGCCATTTTGTAATTCTTTGCTCCTCCTTCTCTTGCTTTCTTCCTTTGTGATTTAATGACTTTTTTTTTGTAGTAGTAGGCTTATAGTCCTTTCTCTCTAT